AGTTTTTAACATTGTGAAATTTTGGGTTGTACATTTTTGTTTGTCCATCACCATATATATGACTCCCTTCACCCCTTGTGCCTACCCCCCACCCCCATTGCCCCTGGTAACCACAATACAGTTTTCTCTGTCCATGTGTTGGTTTATATTCCACATATGAGTGAGATCATACAGTGTTGGTCTTTCTCCTTCACTTAACATAATACACTCCAGGCCCATCCATGTTGCAAATGGGACGATTTTGTCTTTTTTTATGGCTGAGTAGTATTCCATTGTATATATATACCACATTTTCTTAATCCAGTCGTCAGTCGAGGGACACTTAGGTTGCTTCCACTTCTTGGCTATGGTGAATAATGCTGCAATGAACATGGGGTGCATAAGCCTCTTTGCATTGTTGATTTCAGGTTCGTTGGGTAGATTCCCAGTAGTGGGATGGCTGGGTCATAGGGTATCTCTTGATAGACTTTATTTTGTAGAGCAGTTTTAGGTTCACAGCAAAATTGAACAGAGTTCCCATACCGCACCCCCACCCCCACCCCCATACACACACAACTTCCCATACTATCAACATCCTACCAGAGTGGTCCATTTGTTACAATCAGTGAACCCACATTGAAACATCATTATCACCCAGAGTCCATAGTTTACATTAGGGTTCACTCTTGATGTTATTCACTCTGGATGTGTTCTTTAAAAGTCAATTTAGAGTGTACATTTGCTGCACTGAAAATATTCGGGGCTGTGACTTTTCTAAGTTCTTTTGTAAGAAATACATCTCTCTGTATCTTGTTTTTAATTACACCTCTTCCTTTATTCCTTTTTATAATGATTATATCTTTATAGTTTACTTCACTTTAAGGTCAGCGTTTGATACCCTATCAACAGAGAGAGAGAAACTGAAGCAGCTGATGGAGCAGGATGTCTCCTCCACCCCCTCTGCCCAGGTCGTTGGTCTGAAGTGCGCCCTGTCGTCTGTAAGTTCCATGTCTGTGTCACAGAAATGCCTGACAATGTGTCCAGGCCCATACATTTTTTATATTTTCCATCTTCATGGTTGTGTTGAAAATTCATGAAAAAAACAAACAAATGGTCCAAATTATATTCTAACCTTTCATGAGGTCTGCTTATTCCAAACACCAAAACTGAACCTACCCCAAATCTTAGTAACTAATATTTTTATTAAGCATTAAGTACTTGAACTTTGGTTTCCTCCTGTTTGTCTTGATTTTTCTGTTTCTGTAAAGCTTTTGTTTTGTGTGTGCCTTACAGACATTTGTCTGTTTATGCTTATAAAATCTGACATTTTGGAGATTTCTGTACCTAAGACTTCACAAGCTTAGGTTGACTTTCCAAATGACAGGTAACAAAGTGAAATTCTGAGTTCACACATTACTGATCCTATTTTACCACTCTTTCAAAGACATGAAAGTTATTTTATTTGATTTAGTAGTACAAAACATTTAGCTTCTTTCTCCCTATGGGCACAGAGAGATGAGTCATACGGAATGTCAGGTAATCATTGTATCTTCCTAACAGCAGAGAAATCAGTCAAGCCTCAACTGTTTCTCAGTAAGCCTTTCTGTCATTCGCTCTCTCTTCTTTTTTCATCGGTTCCCGTTGGGCTCCATTGAAGTGCAGGGTCCTAGAGCTCTATTTTGAATGGCTGGCATTGTCTAGTTGCTCGCTCTGTATCTATCAATAAAAGCTGGAGAACTTTTAAAATAACATACTTATTTGCTACTACTCTTTGCTTGTCCTTTGGAATTCCTACCATAAAAAGAGAGAGTGTGTGAGCACGTGTGAAATTACCATCTGAAGCAATAGTCAACTTTCTATTTAGGGCCAGGTAGGGGAGATGAAATTTAGGATCTTGTTTGCAGAAGCTAACTCAGGCTTTGAGAGAACTAGAAAATATCCATTCATGTTTTCAATTCATCGTGTTATGGAGAAAAGTAAAGTAATGCTCTTGGTGTAATGTTCATGGTAAATACATTACTAGTAGTACATGTTGTTGTTGTAAGATACTTAAGAAATATTCACTCAGTTGAACGTTCCAAGTGTGTTGTCTTTTTTTTTTTTAAACATTTTATTTATTTATTTTCCCCCGAAAGCCCCAGTAGATAGTTGTATGTCATAGCTGCACATCCTTCTAGTTGTTGTATGTGGGACGCGGCCTCAGCATGGCCGGAGAAGTGGTGCGTCGGTGCGCGCCCGGGATCCGAACCCCAGGCCGCCAGCAGCGGAGCGCACGCACTTAACCACTAAGCCACAGGGCCGGCCCCCAAGTGTCTTGTCTTTGAAAGAAGTAAAAATTAACCTGGACTTCCTCCATGTATAGAGTCTTAAATGTCATCTGCCTTGAGATGCCCTAAGTTCTTTAAGGTCAGAGAGACAAACATCCCCTTTTGGACTGTAGTAGATAGCTGGCCACACAGTGGGTGCTACTTTAGTTTGAGAGAAGCAAGGTTTTTTTTTTTTTTTTTTTTAGGTTTATTTTTTAGTGGTAAAAAGCGTTTCTTATTGTTCCCAATAGGTTGGCTTTAGTGCATTTAGAAGGTACCTCTGATGGCTCCTCTTTCACTGTGGTCTTCCTCTCCCCTGCCCTCCTCCCATGGAGGTCTGGCCTCACCTTGTTAATCCACTTGTCTGGTAGAGGCCATTGGGACCTGTTTGGCCATGGTATCCTAGGCCAAAGTTATTACCTTCACTAAGGAATTCACTCTCACCTGTATTCAGGATTTTGAAAATTTAAGATAAAACGGAATGGTCCTTTCTTTCCTTTTTGGCTTGGACTCTTGATTAGATTCAAGGCTTGTTTTTTAAAAATAAAATGTTTAGCGTCATCTCAGGGCTATCAGAATGGATATGTTTATATGTACAGTCTTGGTATTTTTCTTTCTTCTGCCTGTGGCTTACAAAGGAAAGAGAAGCTACTAAAATAACACATTTTTTCAGGCCATACTAAGATTCTAGCTGCTGATATAGATTCTAGCCACTTATACTAAGATACCAGTGACATATTGGACGTAATAAAGTGAGTGCCCCATAGAGATTGTTGCATGTAGTTGGGTGAATTAAGAAACATTTACTCAGTGTTTCCTAAATAATCCTTGAGAATTTCCAAATAACCCATTCCAGCCATGGGTACTAAAAAATAAAGCCAAAATCCTTGGTTGAGATCCAGGCAGAGGCTTAGACAGTGCCTCATCCTTCTGTGCTCTCAGCAGGTAGACTCTGTGGGCCCTGATGGATGGGAAAGGCTCTGAGCTTCTTGGAGGAGAGTCAGGAAGACAAACAGATAGGGTAGATCTGTGTGTAAGCACCTGGGGAGCTGATTGTGGGAGCGTCTGGGGGGATAATCAGACGAACTCATCCCTTTCCAAAGACGGATCATTTGGAGAATAGTTGGTGCACAGGATACCAGCATGAAGGAAACATCTTCCTTTACCTTCACGCCAGTTCCTTCGTAGCTGGGAGGTTGGGATAGGGAATCAGACTTGCCCAGGGAGAAATAAAAGAGGTCTGGGGTGGACTCGTATTTACCCACATCTCACACACCCTCCATTTTCAGGGCCCTGGTCCTTAGCCTTTATCCAGGTAAGTGAAAGTGAGTTTTTTTTTTTTTTAAATAAAATGTCTTAGTCATGAAGAATGAATGAAACAATTATCACCTATATTGGAAAATAATAAAATTAATCCTCCACAAAATCCTGCTTCCCAGCATACTTCCTAGGATCCAGTTCAACTGGTGTGAAAATTAAATTACATTAAAATATGTCCAGTCATAAGGGGTGGGAGCACCATCTTCTTTCAAGATGTGAGAAGCTTAGGATCATTAGGAGGGAGCTGGCCAGAGACTACCAGCAGCTAGGAAGGAGGAGGGGCTGGGAAACCACCAGTCATAGTAAGAGCTAAAGTTGTTTGTGATTCCCTTCTTCCCTGAAAGGAAAGCCCTACTGACCCCTCCTTCCATCTCCGGAAATGAGATTAGAGAATGGCCATGGTTTCCAGAATGTAATATCTTTTATCTCCCAGGCATCTCAGAGCTGGTATCCTTTAGATAGCATTCAAGGAGAGTCCAGGAAGTGCCCTCCCCGCCCCAGGGCTCCGTCACACTGGGCCCACTGCTGTGCTTTTAGAAACATCTGTTTATTAACCAAGCCCCACTATTTTTAACATGTTCCAGGCCCTAGCACAAAACACAGATCTTAAAGAACGCTTATGCAGAATCCATGCTGAGTCTCTGTTCTTCGACCCCCCTGCTGCTGCCAAGTCGGGTGACAGCCTGGCAGAGGTGGGTAAGGCTTCTTGTCTGGTAATGTCTCCGCCACCACCACCTCTCACGTGATGCCGTCCGCCCCGGCGCTCAGTCTCCCTGCGTCCGCCTCAGTGGTGCTCACATCGCACCGGCCTCCCACAGCTGGGGCAGGCACTGGGAGTTGCTGGTTCGAAGGCTTTCTTGAGACTTTGCTGCTAACTGCTTTTTTTCTTCAGAACTCTTCTTCCTTCGGTATTTCTTTACCCCATATTCCTCCTAAGTATCACCCTTTTCTCTAGGTATCACTGGAGTGGGAACTGTAGAGAGACAAACATTTTTTCCTGTTACTTCTGAAGAAACCTAAATTTCTCTGACCCCCAGTCTCCCAATTCCCTGCTGGCATCCTCTGCTCCCTCTGTGAGAACCACTCTCCTCTTTCCTTGTGGCTGTTCCCTTCTCCTTTATCCTGTGATTTTTTTTTTCCTTTTAAAAAACACAGCTGTACAATCTGAGGGAAAAAAATATTGTATCACCATTGAAGTGTCTCTCAGTCAGTTCATAGTACTTTAAAAATGTCTTTTCTCGAGACTGGGGATGTTTATCCAAAATATTCTTTGCATGTGTTTAATATGAGAAATTTCAGAAAAATACCAGTGGATTACTCGAAAAGTAAGTAGAAAAGGGCAATGAGGATTAAAACTGTTTTTGGTTCTTATATTTATATGCCTGCCTCAGATGTGCTAAATTTTTTATTAACAAATTATTAGACTGAGTGCATTAAAAAAAACACAAGGAAAGTAATATACAATAGGTGTGTGGGTCTGAATTTTTTTACAAGGAGTTTCTAATGTTTAATCTTAATCCATCTTTTTCCTTTTCCTGTCCTCAAAGACGACAAAACTCTCACACAGTACCTTCCCCTGTTGGGAGGCTGTTGTGTCTGGTGATGTGAAGACCAGAGGCTGAATCAGTCTGTGCACAGACCCCTGGGCTCGGGGGTCCACAGCCATTTGCATTACAGGCTGTGCCATGTGCTGATGGGACGCTGTCTTCCGATGAGGGAGTTACTTTCTGTCTGCAGAGGCTCGCAGGCTTCTTATTACTTCTACACACATGACAGTGGTTGACTGTGAAATTCCTTTACATTCTCACTACCCCCAAGAGATCTTTTCAGTCATTTTAGCCCAGACCTAACCTGAGTCACCTGCAGGATTGAGCATCTAAACATTACCTATGGTGGCCTTCATTTCAGGCCTGGGCAAAGAAATATGCTCACTGGATGATCTCTCTTTTGAATCTGCACGTTTGCTGAAACAGGGCCCAGTCACCATCACTGAGGGTTGTTTGCTGCCAAATGCCAAAGCATTCTGTGGGGTTTCGTGTCTGTTTCCAGGCAGTACTTGCCTTTTAAATAGCGTTATCACATAATTATATTTATCTATTTAACAACTTGTGGCAAATTGACCATTCATTTATGGTTTTATGAATTTATGCTCAGTGTGTATACTTGGGGCTGTTTGCATTTTGGAAAGGAAACCAAAATCACAAGTCTCTTAAAATGCATGGTTTTAAGTTGATCTCACAAGTAATATACCTGAAGGTTTACATGCTGTAAATGGTCCTTGAGGAGGAGCAGTACATCCCTCCAACTCACACCTTGCAAATCAGCCTCTGGAGTCTTGCATTGAGGATGCAGTTGTCCTGTTGGTCTAGTTCCTCTTCCAGGGACTTGCTGTTTTCCGTGTTTTATCCTGCTTCTCACTGAGTGACTCAGGCTGACTTTCCCAGTGAGAGAGGAGCCGTTGTTGCTGTCAGGAAATAAGAGAGTGAGTGGGAATGGCCACCCCCAAGCCTCAAACCGCGACTGCAATTTATTTTCTTAGGTAGCTCGCAGGCACCTCAAACACTCAGGAATGACAGTCCCACAGTGGGTCAGCCTAGGGAGCTCTGTTTTAGGACCTCCCACTTTCTTTGCTTACCTTCTGTTACCTTTTAGCTGCACAGATTACCCATCTGGGGAGTTGGGCCTGGCTACTTGGGTTATAAAATCCTCCCTCTCCTAACTGAAATTATTCGCACCTCCTATCAAGTCCTCCTATTTTATATTGCTGAATGTGAACATTTAATATTATCAGCTTATTAGTTCTTATTTTCTATTATTTATATTCGAAAGGAAAGGCTATGTGACTTTGGGGATAACACCCTACTAAATCTAAAGTAAATTTAAGAGACTAAATAGGCAAGAACTTTAAAGAAAAGTTTGAAAGAGAAGAAGGGAACTTAATTCTTTTAATTGCCTGTTTGCTGTATTCCATATGCATTTGAATGCATTACCTCACAAAATCCTAACCACAACTCTATGAGATAAGTGATGGTAGTTTCATTTTAGAGATGAGGAAACTAAAGCCCAGAGGGGTTAAGTAAGTTCCTCCAGGGTGCACAACTAGTAAGAAATAGAGCTGGGATTTAGGTCCACATCTAAAGAGTCGAAAGCACTTGTTTTCTCAATAGCATCGCACTGCTGTCTAGTGAGGAAAGACATACCAAGCCAGAAAATAACACAGAGTGAAGCTGGTAGTGAAAATACGATGGTGATGGTGTAAGAATGGGACAGAATAACTGTCTCAGGCATAAACACCATTACTATGTAAAAGTAATAAATATATGATAGAAAAGGCTCAAAAATCAATGGGAAAGAGATGGATTATTCAACAAGTTAGGTCGGCACAACTCAAAAGCAGCTTAAATTTTGCCATTGCACACTAAAATGAATTGCTAGTGAATTAGAGTTAAATACAAAAATTCAAACTGAAAAATATTGATTTAAATATTTATCAAGTGGCTGGGTAGGGAGGACTTCCTAAATTTGGAAACAATAGAAAAAATTACAAAACAGATATTGAGGGCCGGCCCCGTGGCTTAGTGGTTAAGTGCGCACACTCCGCTGTTGGCGGCCCGGGTTCAGATCCAGGGCGCGCACTGACGCACTGCTTGTCTGGCCATCTGAGGCTGCGTCCCACGTACAACAGCTAGAAGGATGTGCAACCATGACATACAACTATCTACTGGGGCTTTAGGGAGAAAAAGGGAAAAAAAAAATTATTGACTAAATTGACTATTTGTTTTTGAGGACAAAAAAGATGTGTGTGAAAAAATAGACAAATAATAGACTAGGAAAAAATATTTTCAGTGAAAATGTCAAACTCAGATAATGCTAAATAGGTGATGATGTCTTTAATATGTAAATAATTAATAATTAGTAGCAAGCAACTTAAAACCTGAACAAATAAACAGAAAAAAGACACAATTCACCAGAAAACCCCAAAACAGATAGTTTTTTTAAAACTTTTTATTTTGTAATACTTATAAATTCACAGGAAGGTGCAAAGAAATGCAAAGGGGGGGTCCCATGCACCCTGACCTAGCCTTGCCCAATGTTAGCATTTCTATAGCTAGTTTTTTAAAAACAAAAAAATGTTCAACCTAATTCTTAACAAAGAAATGCAAATTAAAACAATTAGATTAGCTCAAAATTTTTATAAATTACTGTATTTGGTGTGCTCAAGAAACAGAAGTTCTCTTACTTGTGGATGTAGTTAGGTAGTATATATTTTGCCTTAAACGTTTTTAACAATTCTACTTCTGAGAATTGATTCTAAGAAATAATGATACAAGTGAAGACGTGAGCAAACATGCTCACCATCTTTACAAATTTGAAAACACCCTTAATTTCCAATCAATGAAATGATTATTCTATGACACACATATATAATAAAATATTATTTATCAACTGAAGTTCATTGTCTCAAAAAACTTAACAGCCTGGGTAAAAGTTCGCAGTATAATGTTCATTGACTGTAGCAGACTATATAAAGACTGTACAGTGTGATCCTAGTTTTTCAAACTTAAAAATATATATATACACAAATATTTTAATATAAAAAATACACCAAGAGGTTAATAGGCACCACATCTGGGTGATGGGACTTTAAGTGATACATATTTTATTTTATTTATATTTTTCTATATTTTCTATTTTGAACACATATTACTTTTATCCTCAGAACAAATGTTAATTTTGAAAAAATGATTAAGATACCATGTTGTTTGGGGGAAGTTTATAAATATATAGATATACATACATACACACACATATATACATATATATTATGATTCCAATTATTTCAAAAAAAGCAAAGCTATATCTATAAAAAGGATGGGAGCAAAATTTGTCAAAATGCTTCTGGTGGTTGTTTTAGTGTGATAGGATATGAGTGTTCCCTTCTTTCCCTTTTCTCTGTTTGTTTATCTTTTTGCAGTGTGAAAAAATAAACAAACAACCACTCAGGCCTTACAAACTTGTGGGGAAATCATTGACTTGAACTGACTAGGTTAATATTTTAATAAAGGAGGGCCCTGCCTTGTGGAAGACACTGACACTGTGCTGGGGGCTTCACTGCTGCATCCCCTTGGGTTTTCAGTAGGTATTGATAGGAAGTTGCTGGGGAAGTGTTCACCGGAAAGGTCTAGGGCTGGGTGTGTTATTTTCAGTGTTGATCATCCAAGAAGTCCTTCTGACCCATCGGTTTAGAAGAAGGAAGAGAGGGAGAGAGCAGGAGTGACTGGTGATAAATTAATGACTAGAACAGGTAAGTAAGTTGTTAGTCTTATGTGGCAGTGGCACACCAAAGACACAGGACAATTCGCTTGTTTCAGTGAGCATTAAAGGAGCTCGGTTATTCACTCCGGTGTCTCCTCTTTTGAGGAGAGAGAGCTTCCTCTGAGGGTGACAGCCGTGATATTTATTTATGGATCCTAAAGTGATCTCTTGGTTAGGGTAGAGAAGAAGCCTGCTTTTCAGAAGTCTGTGTGGATGTTAAAATGGGTAGGGTCTTTAAACGAATACCTTGACCAGCTTCCTTATTTAGAAAGAATCCAAGAGGAGAGGATACACCTTTAAATGTGTTCCTGAAGTAAACATTTCATAAAGGGACCGCTTGCCCTTTACTCATGAAAATCTGCCGTGGCCCTCCCATGATAGCATCCTCATCTTGGTATAATTTGTTTATGAGACTGAGGAATGTGTCCTGAACTCGTGAAACTTCTGGGAAAGTCATAATCTGCTTTAACTTTTATTCCCCAAATTATTTTGAGACTCATTTTTCAGATACAAAGTGATACAGAAACAGCTCTTTTATCAGCCCAGTGAGAAATGTGAGCTGTTGATAAGTTCAGGGCAACAATCTTCTCCTCTGATTGGAAGGAATCAAATCATCTTGTCCTGAATCTGTTCTCATTCCTCAAGGTCTAGTCAGGTGTCACTTTTTCTGTGACGCCCTCCCCAAACCAAAGCCCCCTAAGAGAATCAATCTCACCTTCCTCTCTGCTTCTAGAGCACTTTGTCTATTCCACGGTTTTGGTCTGGTATGTGTTGGGTGCATTCTCTGCACCACTCATTCAGGCCAGAAACCTTGTCTTATTTGTCATTATATCCCTCCATGGCCAGGACAAAGCAGTTGCTCAATTGCTGAGCTGAATGTTTACTTGCAAAGTGAATGGAAAGTGCATTCCCAAAGTTATTTAGGTTCTTCCCAGAGGGAAAGTCTAGAGGCAATGAAGTAGCGAGTGGAGGGCTATGCAAGATGAGAAAATCGTGATCTTCTCTTGTCTTGTTTGTAGAGAGGCTTATAAAGGAGACGGGGGCTTTCCTTCCCTTGAGTCATTGTGGTTGGAGAGAGACAGACAAAGAGAATTTATCTCATTCATCCCTGAATAAGAATGACCTGCCAGCAGGGGCACTTCTGGACCAAAACACGGTTTATTTGTCAAGAGATGCCTCAAAAGCAGCTTATTGGCTTCTGCAAGAGCACAGGGGCAGAAGAAAGCTATGTTGCTCTGAACCAGCCATGCAAGGACATGCATTCAGTACAATTCAGAGGGAATTTTGGCATGAAAAGAAATATCCTGCAGTGGTAGAGAATGAGAGGATATGATTCAGAGAGCGTTGGAATTTTCCCACTCTTAAATGGCGCAAAGACTGCCCTGGACAGTCTTTTTTTGCTTTGACATTTGGTACATGTGCCCGAGCAGTGATAGTGCCTATAAGTGAGCTGCCCATTCTGGGGGACCTTCATTTTTCGTTTTGTTTTGTGTGAGGCTTGCTTCCCCTCAGCTTTGGAGCTGACCTCTGCTTTGAGCTGCTTGTTTGCATGGGCCTGTGACCTTCTGTATTGTGCCATGAAATCAGTTATTTATATTGTTTCTCTTGAGACTGTTTCTAAATATATGCATTTTTGTTTTTGTGCTTCAAATAGGAAAACTCCAGAGATGACAACCGAGCTCTGGTCCATCAGCTTTCCAATGAAAGTAGACTCTCCATCACAGACTCTCTTTCGGAGTTTTTTGATGCACAGGAAGTTCTGTTATCTCCAAGCTCTTCAGAAAATGAGGTTTGAGCACTGTTCTTAGTTGGATGCCTCAAAATCTCTTTTTTTTGCTTTCTTGATTAACACATTCATTTAGAAACACCAAACTCAATGGCCCCTTTCTACCACTACGTTCTGAGGATCTTCTTCTAACTCGTACCCCAAAAGGCACAAAAGGATACAAGACCTTAGAAAAAACAGGTTGTGGGCCAGCCCTGGTGCCCTAGTGGTTAAGTGCGGCACTGTCTACTTCAGCAGCCCAGGTTCAGTTCCCAGGTGCGGACCTACACCGCTCGTCTGTCACTGGCCATGCTGTGGCAGCGGCCCACATACCAAAAGAGGAAGATTGGCAGTGGATGTTAGCTCAGGATGAATCTTCCTCAGCAAAAAAAAAGAAAAGAAAAGAAAAGAAAAAACAGGTTGTGAAAATAGCAGGTGTTGGGCATGGCCTCGCTTCTGTTACTTGATGTGGTGTACCTCTTCAATTACAGGTTAAAAATTAAGACTTCTAGCTATTTGATAATGTAATATTTCCATGACAGGGCCAGAAATTAGCATCTTGTATATTTTTTAACCATTGATTTTGACCTATATTAATGTATAATATATAATAATGTTGTTTTAAATTAATGCATAAGGGCCGGCCCCATGGCTTAGCGGTTAAGTGCACGCGCTCCACTGCTGGTGGCCCGGGTTCGGATCCCGGGCACGCACTGACGCACCGCTTCTCCGGCCATGCTGAGGCCGCGTCCCACATACAGCAACTAGAAGGCTGTGCAACTACGACATACAACTATCTACTGGTGCTTTGGGGGAAAATAAATAAAAATTAAAAAATAAATAAATAAAAAATAAATTAATGCATAAAAGTCATACTTTCCTGAATAGGCAAGTACCACAGGTGGCATTACTGTAAATGTGACCAATTTTACCCTCTCAGTATAGAAGTACTAATCTTATCTATTAATTTCCATAGGAGATTCTCTTTTTCATAGATAGTTCAGAGACAAATCTTAACTCATTCTACCAACACTAACAAATTCTGAAAATGCTGCCTTAATTAATAAGAATTTTTATAATAACTAAAACTTGAGTTTACTTGTTTTTTCTTTGTGAGACTGATTCAAGGAAGTTAAGAATTTTAACAACAGGTGTTTGCTATGAACACCGCCTAGGCAGACTGGTATATGGGCTTCCATGAAAACGGCATCCAAAATTATTTCTGTAAGTTTGTAGTGCAAGACTCAAAATGTTTGATCATTCGGAGTAAAGATTTTACGAAAATCTGGCTTGTTTACTCTCACTCTAATGTATGTTATTTCTCCTTTCCCGTAGATTTCTGAAGATGATTCGTATGTCAGTGACATAAGTGATAACCTTTCCTTAGACAATCTCAGTAATGACTTAGATAATGAGAGACAGACTTTGGGTAAGACTTAAATTATTTGATCTCTGAGTGTTTGGATCTTCACAGAATACTAATAAGCATATACAGCGTACCTGCTGCAGGCAGAGAATTGCAGCAAGTACTACATCAGAAAATTAAGATGGGGTCCCCACCTTTGAGGTTTTTGTAATCTAGGTGGGGAGACTAGCACTTAGATGTTAAAAATATATTCATTCAAATAAATTTGTCTGCTCGTGCAAACTTTATAAAGTGAAGATATACCAATATTCTATAAATATCAAAAATCAATGCAGCAGATATCCCTTATGGTCAAACATTCTCTCTGCAGACATATTAGAACATAGCTTTTTGCCTTCAGGTATCTAATGTTTTTAACAATTTAGGAATTCTGTAGGGCTTGTATAATAAAAGGTCTATAGTGTTAAGTGGTAATTCAGCTTCAGACTCTTCAAGATAACACATTGGAAAGTAATAAACTGCTGCCTCCTAGAAGGGGGAGTCCTCAAGATATCCTAAGATGTCCCTTTATTACTGGTTGATCCCAAGAGTGAAAATGGTGCCCAGGAAATGAGAGTTTGAACCATGGGGTACCTGGAGTGGCTGGCTATCCCCAAACAGCCATGATTTAGGAGTTCAGTGAGCAGACTGAAGCCCGTTTAGGAAGATGCCCCTAAGAAGAATCTACCCATTAGTCAGTTCTCTGCATGGGTCCCGTAGCATCGGATACTCCCAGTCTTGATACTCAGTGTGCCCCGGGGTCTCTAGGATTGTCTGTGTCACTCACTGGATACCCAGAGCACCACCTATTTTCATGTCTACACGGAGGAGAGGCACCAACCATATCAGGTCCTTTTTGATGTTTTGGCGCTTCCCTGCTCAGTAAGTGTGTGTACAATATGATGCTGATGAGTTGTTATCTGAATGCCAAGGGGCTTACTTTTTGAGGACCATGAAAAAAGGCAGGTAATTTTACCATCCTCTGGAAGAACATCCTTTCAGCATCACGCCTGCTAGAAGTCAGATGCTCATTATGCTCTATCTTGGTTGAAATGTTTCTGGAGAGATGAAGCCTTTGGTAGAAAAGTCTGAGAACCAGTAGTTTAAAGAAGACCAATAACACAGGAGCTACTTGTTTTTTGAGAAACAAGAATTAAAAGACAAATGAAGAAACATCACTTATTCCCTTGGCAGACAGCACACACACTAAAATGGCACTCCCACTGTGGATGAGGAAGACTGGAAAACACTGAAGTCCTCCTTCTCTTTGAGGCCTTAGGGAGGAGACCAAGGGGAGGGCAGGAATAGAGGGTTCCGAGGTCAAAGTTGGGAACAGAAGACTTGCCCCAGAACCTAAGACTGTAGTCGTACTGAGCTGACACCAGCCTGGAAAGCACATATAAGAGGTTAAGCCTGGTTCTCTCATATTCCACAGCCATTTTGCTAGAATGCTGACCAGTATTGCCTTAGCTTGAACAAATACTGGGCCAAACCCAGCTTTCTTCTTCACCAATATTTGGAAGCAAAAATAGGTATCCTCCAATTTAACTGTCTCTGAGAAGGATTAGATTTCTAAACATTGGTACTCTGCTGAAAAGATTGGATGTAGAAATAACCTTTGCATCTTATGACACAGGTTTGCCTACAAAAAGAAATAGAATTGGATCAAGGTCTTGATAAATTATTATACTAGAATTTCTCTGAGGCCGTAGTAAATGCTAGATATTTAGGAAGGTAAATGCTTCCTATTAATTTCTTCCGCGCAAAATCAGGAGGCACATATTAGGATCTGTCACCATGCTCGGTGCTGTGGGGAGATAAGTGGTTAAGAAAATAGATTTAGGGACCAGATTTCCTCGGTTAACCCCAGCTTTGCCACTCCCTGGTTATGTGTTCTAGGGCAAATTACTTAACTGCTCTGTGCCTCAATTTCTTCATCTGTAAAATGGGGTTAATAATACTGTTTGCCTCAAGAGATTGTTATGAAGAATAAGTGACATAATAAATGTAAAATGCTTAAAAGCATTGCTGCCAGGGAGTAAATTTATTAGCTATTAGTAGTAGTAGTCATATAGTATTCTTTCAAAATTTAGGTTAGTGTAATCAAAGAAAACATTTTGAGATTATGTGGAGAACTTTTTAAAAACTACTATCATTCACAGCTATTTATTTGTATAAATCAGATTTTTGCCCATGTTGGGCAATTAAATTCAGCAATTCATTGGATACTTAGATTAACATGAGACTGCAGAGTATGACCCATTTCCTATTTTTCTGTTCATCAAAGCAGCCTCTTTCTTCAGAGTGATTGGCTTTATAATGAGTAAATGTTCAATATTTATTTTTAATACATAAATATATACAAATAAAATACCACTTTCTCATATGTTAGTCTGAAAATGTTGGTTTTGCATTATTATATAATCTCAATGCAAAAGATTTCACTTCAAAATAGGCTTAGTTGGGATGGGGAAAGAATTTCAGAGCATAAAGCAATGGAAACTGTCACAAAGGAAAAGATTGATAGATGTAAATATCTAAAATGTATGTTTCATTCATCAAAAAAACACATGGACCAAATTTAAAGGTAAATGTCAAATGGAGATTAAATTGTAAAACAAATATAAAAACAAAAGATTATGGTCTTAATATATAAGTAGGAAAGCAGACAATTCAGAAAAGAAGAAATATTCATGAAGCATTCCAAACCGCTAGCAATTTTTAAAATGTAAGTTAAAACAGGGAGATAGCACTATTCACCTAACAATTTGCCAAAAATTAAAAGCGAATGATGACAAACCTGGAAAGTCCTCAGGAGATAGACACTCACATATGCTGCTGATAAATGGGAAATTGATACAGCCCTTGTAAGGAGCCGCCTGATCATATGAATCAAAATCTAAGAATGTTCGTAGTCTTTTACATAGTGATTCCACTTCTGTATATCCTAAGAAATTAATCAGAGATATGATCAAATATCTAAAAATATGAATGTTCACTACTTTTTTTTTTGCATCATAGCACTACATTGAAAGAAATGTACAAGTCCAATAGTAGATGAATGATTCAGCAAGTTATGGCATATCCATAGCATGGAATTTTTGACAGTCATTAAAAATGATGTTTTAGAAGAATTTTGAATAGCATGGAAAAATACTGATGTTAACTGCATAAGCAGAACATAAAACGAGACATACAGTATGAACTATATGGATAGAGAAAACACTGAATGAAAATACTCCAAAATATAAATGGCTATTACTATTTCTGGGTAGTGAAAAGAGTTTAAAAGTATAAACAGTAACCTGCTATGGGCATAGAAATCCAGTTTAAGTTTATTATAAGCGTATATAAACTACAAGGAACTAGCTTTTGAGTGGGAACTTGAAGACGTCCCCCTGAAGAAAGTCTGAGTTTTAATGCATATAATTTTTGGTACTTCATTTAACTGTGCAGAATTCTTTTTATTTTTTGACTTTCAGTCATATTCTGGATAACCGAGATTACTAGTAAAATTGAATACTTGCTAGGTGAGGTTTTCTTCTTGGATAATTTTTTTAAATAATAAAATAAAATGAAATGCCTTATAGAGCCAACCAGGCTTATTTCCCTTTTAGGGCCTGTTCTTGAAAGTGACAGGGAAGCGAAGTCCAAAAGAAGAACTTGTCTGCCGGCGCCGTGTCCCAACACTGGTAACATCAGCTTGTGGAACATCCTGAGAAATAACATCGGGAAGGATCTGTCCAAAGTGGCCATGCCGGTGGAGCTCAATGAACCTCTGAACACGCTGCAGAGGCTCTGTGAGGAGCTGGAGTACAGTGAGCTTCTGGACCAGGCTGCGCAGATGCCCAGTGCCCTGGAAAGGATGGTGAGGAAGCCACCTTTCGACTGCGTTGTCTGGCCTCTGCACCTGAGCCGCCGGGCCGTTCATGGGGCCTGACAGAGCTAAGACAGCAGAGCCAGAGCTCTTGCCCCCCTGGTTTTCGTTTGGGTTGTTCTTTAGATTGGTTCATTTCTCAGCGACGTGTGGTTCCCCTCTACCTGGCTGTTTTCAGTCGTACCTGGCTGTTTTCAGTCGTCTTGTCAGGATCTGCTTCTCTGTGGCAGCTGGTGCCTGGGAGTAGTTCTGCTCTGTGGTTTTGCCCCTCTTCTTTCTCCAGAACCCATGAGGGCTGTCTGGGCATTTATTTTTACTATCCCAAGTGGACAGAATTTAATTTCTCGAGCTGTTTTTCTCATCCAGGGTAAATTTCCCTTGAGAATGTTTTTGTTTATTTTTGGAATTGTCCCATCAGCTCCTAGATTTTCAGAAAATAACGTTCACAGAAGAGGTTTTTACATAAGAAAGATTCTTCTTGGTTTTTTTCCCCCTTCCTTCTTTTATAGAGTAAGTTTAAAAAAAAAAAAAAGAAAGCTCGTCCTGGAAATATCCACCTTATGTTCTCTACTCAGTATCCCTTCCAATCACAGGTTTTTGAAGGGGTTTCCAGGTGTTTCTCATATTTCCCCTGTCCTGTGGGGAAGGAAGGGGGATAGAGGTGCCCTGGTCGTAAGACTGTGGCCAAATCCGCCCTTTTTGTGACTGTGGTTGACTTTGTTCTTCAAAACTGAGTGTCTCTGGGGCTGCCTGGTGGCATAGCGGTTAAGTTCGTGCGTTCCGCTTTGGCAGCCTGGCGTTTGCCAGTTCGGTTCGCCAGTTCCTGGGCGCAGACCTACTCACTGCTCATCAAGCCATGCTGAGGCAGCAGCTCATATAGGAGGGCTATAACTCTACAACTGTGATACATAACTATGTACTGGGAGTTTGGGGAGAAAAAAGAGGAAGATTGGCAACAGATGTTAGCGAAGGGCCAATCTTCCTAAAACAAAAACTGAGTGTCTCTTCCGCTTTTTGCTTTCTCATACGTTATCTGCTCAACGGTGAGGTCATTGTATAGGAGGCTGGGACTTGAGTGTCTTCCCCCAAATGCAGAATCTCTGTCCTGAGCATTTGCTGATTGGCTAAATTGGAGGTGGTGCCCCCACCCTGCTTCAGGGACCTGGCCATAAGTCTCCCTCTCACTGATGGAGGATACCATTGTTCTCTAAATTCTAAGCATTCTGTAGTTTTAACCCTCATTAAAACTTCATTACTTTAGTGATTTGAAGATTAAGGGGAAATCTAACTACTGGCTGAAAGAGGCATCCCATAGTCCTTCCACAAAGTCTCCAGGGACCTCCCATCAAAGAAACTTTCTTGATGCTGGTGATAATAAGAGCAGGAGAGAAAAACAAGCTTTTTTTTTTTTTTCTTTGTTACTGTTACCCAGAGAACTTCTGTTGAAAAGGGAGGCAAATCGCTTCTAAGGCAAGTGTTAAAACTCAGCATTTGTGGACAGTCTTTTCTTTAAAGAAAACGATTGATTTTGATGAATATATTCTGAAAGGTGTTTCATTCTTAGGGCAATTTAGAGACCCTTAAGATGTCAGCTGATTGATTGGTAGAATTGACCTTGAGAAGAAGCTTCAGGAAAGGCTTATGATTCCCGCACAAACATTAGGAAAGGAAAGTACAGGAAAGCACTGAGCAGGAACCTTATTCAGTAGGTTGTGTTTACTGCTCTGGGAGTCAGCTCCTGCCCCTGCAGATTCTCTCCTGTTGCTAGCTCAGAAGGAGAATGCTTCATTGTGCCTGTTCCCTCCCTCCCTTCCCCCCCCCCGCATTGTGAATGATACCAAGTTCTTTTATAAATTTTGTTATATTTTAAATTGTGAAGGTGATTCAGGGTCGATTCAGCATTCCATACAGACAGTGTGACCTTCGTGTTTAATAGGTAACAGACATGAGGAAACAGAGAGAGAAACAGAGATACCAAGATTTCAAGAATAAAGACTGAATTGAGCATAGTGAATTGGTTTTTATAAGCTCTCTAGCTGCTCTGGAGTGTTCTGTAATGTGAGATATTAAGGGGGGTCCTATTTGCAAAAGGATAAGAAAAGTTATATGACTGGTGAACATTTGTGAAAGGCATGCAGCTTTTTTTCCAATATGAGGAGCTTCATGAAATGTGCTGGGAAGGGAAAACATTGAAAATGTTACTTGATGTTAGAAAGGGAAAGTTGCCATCCCTACTTAGGTTTAATTTTTTGCTGCCCCCTGCCCCCCAAATAACCAAAAAGAATAGTGTGTCTCTTTGGTGCCCTGAAAGGGGAGCTGATAAAAATGCCGAGCGCCTCCCAGCGAGGGCCATGAAAGGATCTTGATTTTTCATTTTCCTCCCAGAAAAGCAGAATTTTTTTAAAGGCACTGTGGCTTGTTGCCCAGGCTCAGGAAATGCCTCTCACAGATTTTCTTGTGTCAAAATGAGTTTTTAGGTTTGTACAGTATCAAATCGGGCAGTAAGCTTAGGATGCTTATTCCTGAATTTTGAGGGCAGTTCGCTCCTTTTATGCTCTTCTTCCCCCTCCTCCCCGAAAGCCTGAGCACGATGTCAGGATTCTCAGGTACTGTAAGGCTGAGGGCTACTGGACTCAGCTTAACAGCTCAAAAACAGTGGAGTTCGTTTGATAAATTGCATCATCTTGAAAGCCTCTCCCAACTTTTAGGCATCAGAACAAATGGACAGTTTGAAAATGTTTGGTTCATTTGTCTCTGGGCCAAAATGAACGTTACTTAAACCTGCAACTTTTTTTTTTTTTAATAATTTTATTTATTATTTTTTTTTCCCCCCAAAGCCCCAGTAGATAGTTGTATGTCATAGCTGCACATTCTTCTAGTTGCTTTATGTGGGACGCGGCCTCAGCATGGCCTGAGAAGCGGTGCATCGGTGCTCGCCCAGGGTTCGGAACGGGGCCACCAGCAGCGGAGCGTGCACACTTAACCGCTAAGCCACGGGGCCGGCCCCTAAACCTGCAACTTTTAACCAGAGTTGTTTGGACAAATCTTTGGCTTTCCAAAATAAACCATAAAGAGAGAAACAGAAGTTGTGTCTTGTTCATGTCTTTGTTTGTAAAAATAAATTTCTTGGTGACAGAGAAATAACAGAGTTCTTTCCTCCCTCTCCTAGGTGTACGTGGCAGCCTTTGCTGTGTCGGCGTACGCGTCTAGCTACTTCCGAGCGGGAAGCAAGCCCTTTAACCCTGTTCTTGGAGAAACGTACGAGTGTATTCGCGAGGACAAGGGCTTCCGGTATTTTTCAGAGCAGGTGGATGTGCACTCTTTTGTTTGTTGTCTACACCCTCTTTGTCCACTTGCACTGGAGGAGTTGCTCATGCCTCCTATTACATGTGCTTTTGAAATATTTGTTTTCCACCTTTCGCTGGCTTCAAAGCAACTGCGATAATCACAGTGCTTCTATACATAAAGAGAGGGATCGATTTCCCGTCCGCTGAAACCTAGCCACCACGGTGTGCATAAAGGTACTAGCAGTGCTGAGCACTCACTGGACCATTTGCATCGACAGTGCCCTTTCTGTTTAAAGTCATAGTGAGAAGAATTTCAAAGGATGAAACATTTCTCCAACCTTCGATTTAGGGGTTTAAAGTGTGCACCCTTACTCTTTGACGTTGTCATTCTAGAGCATGAACACCCCCATCGGAATGGGTAGCACCATAAATGCATTTTTTTTGTGTATGTGTGAGGAAGATCAGCCCTGTGCTAACATCTGCCAATCCTCCTCTTTTTTTGCTGAGGAAGACTGGCCCTGGGCTAACATCCATGCCCATCTTCCTCTACTTTATATGGGACGCCTCCACAGCATGGCTTGCCAAGTGGTGCGTTGGTGCACACCCAGGATCCGAACCGGCGCACCCCGGGCCGCCGCAGCGGAGCGCTCGCACTTAACCGCTTGTGCGACCAGGCCAGCCCCACATTATTTTTTATTTTAATTTAAGAGGAATCGTTCATCCACATATTTATTCAATCCGTCAGTATTTCTCAAGCATATACCATGCACCTGGCATCGTTCTGGGAGCTGGGAGGCTGCAGTGGGGTGGGGGCTGGGGGCAGACCAGAATGCCCGTGCTCATATAATGGATGAACATACTTTATACTTACACAGCCTGAGTTCCCTGAGTTTCTGTGAGACTCTCGCCACCTAAGAATTAGCAGAGAATAATATTCCAAAACAAAGAGCAGTGTCTCTGGAGACAGCCTAGGTTCACATCTCAGCTCTGCCTCCCACTGGCTTTATAACCCAGGGCACGTTACTTAACCTTTCTGTGCTTCAGTTTCCTCTTTAACATGGAGACGATGATAATGGCACAGCCGTGAGATGGCTTTGTGGCGATTAAATGAGATACTCTCTACAAAGCACTTAGAGCCGTGTCTGATACATGAACCATTAAGTGTTGTATGAATGTTTGCTGTCATATTGATATGGGACAGCATCGTTTGCAGTAGTGGAATGTTGGGAACATCCAAAATATCTGTCAATAAGGAATTGTTTAGCTAAAATATGGTGCATTGATACTGAAAATAAAAAACAGTCCTCTCCTGCCTGGTTAAGGCAGAGACTGAATATGTCCACCCTCCATATATCCATCCCTAAATGTCAGCCTAGGAACATTAAACAGGATTGCTTCAATACATTTCTCTCCTCCCAATTCTTAGAAAACTGAGGAAAAAAGAGTTGGTTGCTAAAATATTATTTTTCTTCCTGCTATTTGGCTGCCCTTTTTATCAATGGATTTGCACTGTGGGGGTAGGAAGGGAAAGGTGGTGTGGCTGAGAGACTTAGGAAGATGATGCTTGTCCTGCAAATTACAGGCAGTGTTCTCTGAAACTCAAAGGAAAATGAATATACAGTAATCCCAAAGCACATTTTCAGTAGCTTTCCAGTTAGAAGCTAGAACGAGAAATTAAACACCAATATTGGGGAGGTAGGGGGTTAAATCAGTAGTTAAAGGGATAAGATGATCTGATACAAATTCAGCTGGGTTATTTGAATACTAAACCTAAAATGGAATGAAAATGTAATTTGGTTACCATGGTACTGTATGCACTCATATGAAAAAGCCCAATAATAGCCCTAAACTACAGCAATCAGGACAGGATGAACAGGCATGAGAAAAGAATAGTAACGTGAGCTTGTGTGAAGCTAAGCTTCAATCTCATGAGCCCCTGACGGGGCAGGACCAAATTCAGGATCTGCTCATGTGTCTCCTATGGTGGGACAGAGAGAGAAGGCAGAGCTCCTGGGCACGTGTGCACAAAGAGGGAAGGAGCATTACATAACTTAGGCTTTAGTTCCATGAAATGGATCCCAGGGAAATAAGCAAGAAAGATCTGGTCATTGTTAGTAGCATAGGGTGTGCTGGCTGTAATGCAGACCTCCTTTCAAATCCTAACCCACCACGTACTCCATGTGCGACCTTATAGAAGCTACTTAAACTTTTTGAGCCTTGGTTATTTCTTTGTCTAAGAAATAGGAATGATAATGCTTAGCTCATAGGTTGCAGTAAGGCTTAAGTGAAATAATACACTGATAGATAAAGTACTTGCACTGAGGATGGTAACTGTTCAGTAGATGGTTATTGCTCTTACATTTAGAGGCAACTTTTTTCTTTGGTGAGGAAGATTGGCCCTGAGCTAACATCTCTTCCAGCCTTCCTCTATTTTGTATGTGGGACGCCACCACAGCATGGCTTGATGAGCGGTGTGTAGGTACACACCTGAGATCCAAACCCATGAACCCTGGGCCGCCAAAGCAGAGCATGTGAACTTAACCACTGTGCCACCAGGCCGGCCCCTAGGGCCAACTTTTAAAATGATTTTTAATATAGTGTGTTAAGAATAGTAAGAGGAGTGTTGAAATAAGATATACCATATCTACTCTACTAATTCAAGTGGTTTGAAGGGGGCATAATGTTGCTGGTGAGCTCTGACAGAAGCCAGCCATCAGGCAGCCGGGAGTCCTCACAGCTGGCTTTACCATCAGAGTACCATCACTCCTGCTTCATCTATCTGGAATTTAGTCTTATGACCTCAGATAGTTGGTTCTTTAAATACACCCAAGAATGGATGAGCCTCTCAGGGACAGATTCACACTAGCTAAGCTTGCAAGAAACTGATGTATAAACTGCTCCTATATGCACTTACTATGAACAATAGACCTGCCTCGGGGACCAGAAAGCTTTGGTCAGCGTGACCTGGCATGCTTTCCCCATAGACAGATTACTTGGAAAGCCAAATTGTAATCATCAAGTGAGTGTACAATGAGAAGGAGTAAGAGCTGTTCGATTTGATGTGCTGGGCTCCCACTGCCCCAGGAGTGGAACGGGTTTTGGCCAGGGCCTTCCTCTTCCTGGTCGGCAGGAGACATCAATTCAGCCTCCCCTACCCCTCTCCCACCCTTGTTGTTTATGCTGACCACCTGACCCATTGTGCACGAAGGCCTTCTAAAGTAACACATCTAAAGAGAGCATCAGAGCCTTTATTCTGTTTCAGGCTGGTCCCTGCCAGTATGGCTCTTTCTGCTTCCGGCCCAGGAGACAATCTACCTTTACGGAGACAGCGTGACTCTACCCTTGTCCGTTACGTGTGGGTGATATACTTCAGCTCTTGGGGTTTGGGGCTTCTTTGCTTTCTTATACCTCTCTACAATGAGTGGAGGTTACTGAATGACCTGGATAGGAGCCCCAAATTAATATTTTTGGGTGGAATTTTATTCTAATCAGAATGTTGATGGAAATCATATCTCCAAGTGAAAGGACCTGGAAAGAAACAAGGGTAACTCAGCCTTTCTACTGAGTTTTCTAGACAACAGAGTCGGGTGGTTTGAAAAGTGATGTCTATTCCTCCAAGGTCCAGGGTTTTGTTGCTTCATGTTTTGGTGGGTATGTGGAGGTTTGAGGTGGTTAGTGGCCAAGGAAGCTGAAGTAATTGCTACTTCACAGAGTTCAGCTACGTCGCAGCTTGCCCCTCTGTATTGTTTCTCATCTGAAAGACCGAAAAACACATGATCAAAATGACTCCTGTGGTCAGAAACCAGACAGAGCATTTGCTGTTCAAATTTTCCTCATAGGGGCCAGCCCAGTGGTGTAGTGGTTTAGTTTGCACGCTCCACTTCAGCGGCCTGGGTTTCACAGGTTTGGATCCCAGGCATGGACCTATGCACCACTTATCAAGCCCTGCTGTGGCAGGCATCCCACATATAAAGTAGAGGAAGATGGGCACGGATGTTAGCCCAGGGCCGATCTTCCTCAGCAAAAAGAGGAGGATTGGCAACAGATGTTAGCTCAGGGCTAATCTTCCTCACCAAAAAGAAAAAAAATATTTTCCTCATAACAATTAAGTATTAGGTTTGCAGAGTGCTTTATGCTTTTCAAATTTGTACAGGATCTTATTTGATCTTCAAAATACCCCCTGTGTGGCAAGTGAGGCGAACATCAGTTATGGTTGAGGAAACTGAGGCCTAGAACGTTAGTATCTTCCAGGGCCTCTCACCTAGCGCCCTCTGTTTCCATTCCAGGGTCCTCTCTCCCTCACCGTTTTTTGGGAGTCGCTTGTATAGGTTTAGTTATTGTGCTCAGAGCTGCTGGACTCACTGGCTGTGGATATAAAAATAGCATTTTCATATACTGTTCAGTCTGTGGGATTTTGCCTGTCATCTCACTTAAGCCTTTCATCCTCCAAACTCACTCGGGACTTTGTTCTAAGCTCCCATTGTGGGCTGGGGAGTGGCATTTGTGAATGAGGAACATTTAGGAGTCGATCATAAACATTCCTGTGAGATGTTCTAACCTCTGGCTTTTCCACCTTCTCAGGAGAGGAGTTTCCATTGTGCCAAGAAATGTGATTCAGCCTTGGCTTTCCAAAGAAAAGAAAAGGGGGAATTCAGCAAGAAAGGTCTTCTTTTCTCTCCTCAGGGCCTGAGGGTCCTGCTGGCAGGTTATTCCTGAGTTGGTTCTCTGGCTGCCTGGCAGAGAGCTGACACACTGGCTGTGAGCTTCATCAGGGACCAGATGGGTCAGAAAACTCACTTCAGTTAGCTTTGCCTTTCTTTTTGTACCTTTGGGAAAGACTTGGTGTCTAAAGGATCTGCAATTAAGCTATTATCTAAAAGTAGCTTTTCTTAATTACCTGGATCTTCAGTTGTCAGATGACTGTTCAAGTCATTTTATCCATTTACCCACCCAGCCACGTACTGTTTCGAGTTTGCGACAGAAAAGGTGAATGGAGTTATTGAAAGTTGCTAAAATGTAA